TCATAAAATAGGAATATCAGGCTCAGGAATACCAAGCCTAAATTCTTCAAGGTGAATTGAACCTTTCAACATTTCGCCACATTTCAGGCTTCAAACATAAAGATATAAAAATTAAATGTTTTGTCAAGAATCAACAGCAAGTGGAACGAAATTTATTGGATAATTTAAACTTTTTTAACAAATAAAAAACTGAAAAGTGGGGCGTGCAATATTATTCGGCCCCCTTGCGCTAATACTTTGTAGCGCCACCTTTTGCTGCAATTACAGCTGCAGTCTATCAGTTTTGCACATCGAGAGACTGGAATTCTTGCCCATTCTTTGACAATGCCGTCACAATGGAAGGTAAAATGCTTAAAATATGCTTTAATTAGGACATAAAAGTTAATAGTAATAACATTTGAGGCAAGAAACATCCCCCTCTAATGTCATATCAGAGGTCTGTTTGGCAAATAAATAGAAAATTTTCAGAATCTACCTCAAGCGCAAAGCTGAGGTAGAGGTATCTCCCATCATGCATTGCGCTAATCCACTGCGCAGAACCGGGAGGACCAGACGATGCCCAAATATAGGCGAGTTCAGTTAATCTCCCGGTCCCATGCGCTACGGAGCACAAACCATTCATTTGAATAGGACGCCATCTTGAATCACCGGGGCATGGCGAGCCTTCGGAAACTTAACCAAAACAACCTGCTTCACCGAACAACAGCCAAAACTGTGATATTTGGCAGTGCGGTTGGTTGTACAAACAGGCAAGGACATAAGCCAAATGTGTCTTTTTATCTGATACCTGCTCGTCATGAAGACAGAAGACGACGATGGCGGCAATCAACCAAAAGGACTGGGAGCCATCCAAGTACTCCCTAATATGCTGTGAACACTTTTTACAAGATAAATCAATCACAATTAGGTATTTATTCTCTTTCCATTAATTTATTTGGAGAACAATGACACAAGAAACGCTTGAAGTCAAACGTGTGCTCTTACTACTGTCCTGTATGTGCACTGCAACATTGAAATTTCCTCACTGTGGCACAAAAAAAAGATCTATTTGATCCGTCAGTTGCGTTTTTCACTGTTTTCCTCTCTGTCAATATGCATCATGTTTGGCTGTAGACTGAAAAGTGCATTGCTAATGTGCTAATGCTACCAGCAAAATGTGCATATACTAAATGTATAGTATTGTGAGCCCTGAAAAGATGTCCTACTTTCACAGAAAACGTATTCGAACATGTGCTTGGAGAAGCCTCGTCTTGATTTAGGAGAGGAGTCTCCGTTTTGCTCTCTCCGCAATGCTAGTTTCCACTACTTCCGCCGTAAGCTCCTTCATAATCACGTGACTGTATGACGTCGGAGCATCTGGTCAATTATAATTTATTTATTTTAGTTTTTTATTTATTGTGTTTATTTGAATATCAAATAAATGTATACGAAAAAAAGACAGTAAGAAAAAAACAAAGAAAATAAAGAAAACGTATTCACGTTCAAAAGGATTAGGAAGAAGCCAAAGCTTATTAAATCCTACCCCTCTTCCCTATGTTAATTCAATATATTGAAATAAGTTATAAGCAAATATATTAATATATATACACACATACATGTATATACATACATGCATACATACATGTATCCATACATACACACACATATACATACATACATATATAATTACAGTTAATAATAAAATGAAATTAAATGAACAGTAACAATAATTGCACCGTGTATCACCTAGTGTTTGTACCCCAGTTTCATCCCTGTATCTTTTATATTCATTTAACCCCCTAATTGATAACCCCCATCTCAACCCGTAAAGTAAGTTTTGTATATTATTTGGTAGTAGATTATTAGCTGCTTTATACATTATCTGTGCTGTTTTAAATTCAACTATGTCTGTGAGTTTTAACAGTTTTGACTGCAAGAAAAGTGAGTGAGTGTGATCCAAATAGCCTACATTATGTATTATCCGAATTGCCCTTTTTTGTAGAATAAGTAGTGGTTTTAATGAACTCGGATAATTATTTCCCTAAATCTCTGAGCAGTAACTGAAATATGGTAAGACAATGGTACAGTATATGTTACGAAGTGACTTAGCGTCTAGTACCGGTTTTGCTCTATTTAATATTGCAATGCTTCTTGACAGTTTAGTCTGAATATATTTGATATGTGGTTTCCAGGTGATTTGATCATCTATTATAATCCCGAGGAACTTGTTTTCATGAACCCGTTCTATTTGCACCCCATCTAACCTTAGTTGTATTTGCTCTTCAGATTGGTTGTTCCCAAATAACATTATTTTTGTTTTGTTAAGATTAAGTGATAATTTATTCCTGTCAAACCATAATTTCACTTTGCTCATTTCATGATTAACCTCTTTCAGAAGCTCTTTTAAATTGTCCCCAGGACAAAAAATATTTGTGTCATCAGCAAACAGCACCAGCTTCAGTTTCTGTGAGACAACACAAACATCATTAATATACAAAATAAACAATTTAGGGCCCACTACTGACCCCTGGGGGACGCCACAGGAAATGTCCAAGCAAGCTGAACAAACTGCTGCCTGTTCTTTAAATAACTTGTGACCCAGTTCAACACAATGCCTCTGACACTACATCTTTCTAGTTTTTTTTTATCAACAAATCATGGTTAATTGTATCAAAAGCTTTTTTTAATATCAATAAATATTCCAACTGCATATTGTTTTTTTTCAAGAGCATTTGTAATATCTTCGATAGCTTCAGTTATCGCTAGTGCTGTTGATCTTTCTGACCTAAACCCATACTGGCTGTCAGAAAGCATTTTATGTTTTGTGATGAATGTATCCAGTCTATTACTAAAAAGTGTTTCTAATCCATCCATCCATTTTCTACCCTTTAATCCATTTCTGGGTCAGGGGGGTGGCAGTCAGAGATGCCACCCAAGTCTCATAGCACCAGCCCCTCACTGACCCTCTGCAGGTGGTGAGTCCACAGGAGGACGGCTGCTCTCTGAGTGTGAGCATAGCCTTGATCTTTCAGTGGGGGCTTTGGGCAAAGTGGGGTTAAGTGTCTTGCCCAAGGACACAACGACAGCAGTCATCAGTGGGAGTCAAGTGAGTCAAGTGTTTCTAATATTTTGGAAAATTGTGGGAGTAAGGAGACAGGTCTGTAGTTGTTGAAGTGATGTTTGTTCCCGCCTTTGTACAATGGCTTTTTGTACCTTGGCTTTTTTCATGCTGTTTGGAAAGACACCAGTGTGAAATGACAAGTTACAGATGTGCGTTAGCGGCTTAATAATTCCCTCAATCACATCTTTCACAAGAGTCATGTCAATGTCATTATAATCAGTATATTTCTTATTTTGACACTTTTGAACAATGTCAAGTATTTCCTTTTCTTCCACTTTATTAAGAAAAATTGAGTGGGGATTTCTTTCTATTAACACATCCATGTCTTTACCAACTGCCCCTGGATCAGGTATGTTTTTTGACAGGTCAGGCCCCTCATTCACAAAAAAGTTATTAAATTTATCCGCCACATCACTCGTGTTTTCAAATATATTGTCTTCATCGATAAAGTATTCAAGATACTCATTTTGCTTCGAGCCACTTCTTATAATACTGTTTAATATATCCCACACTCCTTTCATATTGTTTATGTTGTCATCTAATCTTTTCCTGAAATAGTCTTTCTTGCTCATTCTTATAATATGTGTCAACTTATTTTTATATATTTTATATCTATTTTCAGCCTCAGTGGTTTTTAATCTTATGAACTCTCTGTACAACGTATTCTTTTTGCAAGCGTTTTGTTACCCTTTTGTTATCCATGGACAGTAGCTGTATTTTAGTTTTTTTTTGTATATTCCTTATTTGGACAGTTTTTAAAAATACAATTGTGTAAATACATTCAAAAATAAATCATATGCATTGTCCACATTGTTTTCCTGATAGACTGTCTCCCAGTTATGTGCCAGTAATTCATTGAGTGTGTTTACCGACTTCTCTGTCCTTAACCACCTATATTGCGTTTTCTTATGTTGCTTTTTTCCTGAAGTTATGATCATAGACAATGAAAACTGTCTATGTCTAGGGATAACAGAACACGTTCGAGGGAGTATGTATCTCAGCTGGCTTGGGAATGCCTCAAGATTCCCTAATGAGCTGGAGGAAATGCCCCCACGAACCGGCGGTGGATAAAGCAGAAGAAAATTGATATTTATAGTCGTCAGAGCTATTTGTCTGTTTTTTTATTTTCCTTATGATCTACTTTAGTTTGTTATTTTTCTTAGTTCTGCATGTTTACCATTTGCTTGGAGAATAAACCCACCTAAAATGCAATTTTGTTTGGACATTCTCTACCCTGCGTAGGGCCAACCTGAAAACACCTGAGTGGCCTTTTGATTTGTTTTGGTTTAAGTTGGACATGGTTTAAGTTATGGACAAATCGCCACTACATCATGTATAGCAACTTCAAAGTGAGACAGTAATTCACACATGCTAGAAACATTCCACTTTATATTTTATTTTATCTCTGACAATTCACAAATAACATTATACATACAGTGCCATTTTAGACATAATAGTTTGTTGATAAACATCAACATCCTCCATCTTATCTACACAAATTTAAATTCTCATTAGAAAACACTGTTTGATCCACATACAATATATCTGCATTGCTCTTATTATGCCTCTACAGCTATTTGTGTGCTTTTGCTACTGTCCTGTGTGCACTGCAACACTGAAATGTCCCCATTGTGGAATGAATTAAAGTTTCCGTATCTTATTAATTATGACTCACATTTGAAACTAACTTGATCCAAATTTCTACATGAGGGTTCCCAATCTAAAACACTGCAGTTACAGAAACATACGAGCAACAGCCTCCTTAATTTGGGGGCAACATCACGATGATTTTCTAAATTCATTTTAGAAAACAAATTCTCTAAAAATAAATCTGAAATAGTGATGGTGCACAAGCTCTTTTTTACAACAGTAATTAGAAATGTAAACAGTGATGTACGCTTCAGGACAAAATGAGTGCTCGATTATGTCCATGTGACTTCAGTGAGCGAAGAAAGCGCCTTGCCTTTTCATTCATTATCAACTGGTCTTTAGTCTGCCCATATACAACCGTTTCCCACTCTTTTGTCATCTAAAATAAAAAAAACAGTAAATACAATGCTTCAAAGTATATTTTCTTGAGAAATACAAGTAAACTTACAGGACTCACGTGTACAGAACTTTGGAAAAAAGCGCTGTCACTGGGGCCCACAAGAAAACCCTGATCCAAGATATTTTCTTGGCTTTTGTTGCAAAATGACGACGAGTTTATGGAGATAAACATGGGTTCGTCCTGGGAATAAAGACAAATATAAATTACAATTTCAAAACCAAACCAACTATATACACTGAATTCATAAAGCCACACCTTAATGGAGCGTTTCGCCTCCGTTTTCATTGTTTTGCGCCTTGATGATGTGTGACAATCCAGAACATCTAAAGCCAAAGACTTGCGCACTTTTTTCATTGGTTGGCGAGTCTTGAAAATAAGGAAATTAGAATGTTACAAAAATGTTCAAAGACAATGCACATATTTAAAAAACATCTTCATAAGATACACATTTCCACAAATAGTAAAGCATTTAATGAAGCACTTCTATATGGAGCTATTGTTTCAATAATATTTGTGTGTGCGTAAACAGATTTGTGTGTGCGTAACCAGATTTGTGTGTGCTTAGAAAGATTTGTGTGTGTGTAAAGAAAAAAAAAGTAAGTTTTACACACAAGTTTTTTTTTTTTTACACACGAATCTTTTGACGCAGTCCTGCCTTCGCAGATTCGCAAGTGTAACTTGGACTGTGTGCGTCTGTACCCAGATTTGTGTGTGTGTAATTTGACATTTGTATCTGTAGCAGAACAATCTGTGTGTAAATAACCACGTTGTACGAAGAGAAGAACGGAAAAAAGCCTAAGTGCTATGCACAGGCTCCGTTTTACACACGAATCTCTTTTTGACACACCTCTGCCGCCAAGCGTGTGTCAAAAAGATTCGTAAGTGTAATGTGGTTGTTCTAGCAGTACACCAGCAGATGGTGCTGTTGTAGCTGGTTATACACGCAAGCAAACCAGCAGAGTTTGTAGCACTATAGTGTAGATAGAGAAAACCGAAGGATTTAAGAAAAGTTCAGGATGACAATTAACACAAAAATTCCCACAAAATCCGACTTTTATGAAAGCTGTAGGTTCTCTGTCAGCTGTTTTAGTTTACTTTGAGTTCTATGGGGAAAATGTCTGTGTAGCCCACGTGAATTTAGTCTGCAGTACGCTAGAATCCCTCAGCTCCAAGCTAGTAACACCCTATCCAGTTATTATAATAGATCCATGTATTATACAGTGGTGTGAATGACAGGATTTTGAATATAGGAAAAAAATATCATAAACAGCTACGGTAGTGTGTCTTGTCAAGGCAGTGGGTTTTCGTTTGCTTGCCTGTAGGTAATAACCAGCTACAACAGCACCATCTGCTGGTGTACTGCTAGAACAACCACATTACACTTACGAATCTTTTTGACACACGCTAAGCGGCAGAGGTGTGTCAAAAAGAGATTCGTGTGTAAAACGGAGCTTAGGCTTTTTTCCGTTCTTCTCTTCGTACAACGTGGTTATTTACACACAGATTGTTCTGCTACAGATACAAATGTCAAATTACACTCACACAAATCTGGGTACAGACGCACACAGTCCAAGTTACACTTGCGAATCTGCAAAGGCAGGACTGCGTCAAAAGATTTGTGTGTAAAACTTACTTTTTTTTTTCTTTACACACACACAAATCTTTCTAAGCACACACAAATCTTGATACGTACATACAAATCTATTTACACACACACAAATCTGGTTACGCACGCACAAATCTTTTTACGCACATACAAATCTGGTTACGCACACACAAATCTGGTTACGCACGCACACATCTTTTTACGCACACACAAATATTATTGAAACAATAATAGCTCCATACTTCTACTGCTTTGACAGATTGTAATTTTAGACCATACTGTAAATAGATCAGGAGTCTCAAACTGTTTTTGTTTGGAGAGCTACTTTTGCACAACAGAAATGACAGAGCTACTCTTTCTTTGCAGTTGTATTAAAACTGTTGTCTAAGTAATAATTGCGGAAAATCATGGACAACACTCATGTAAAATGTGCCATATTACTGACTAACCCTGGATTAGAAAACGTAACGCAAACTTCTGGTAAATTAGATATGCAATGACTCAAAATGAAATCATTTCGGATCGTGGGAAATTCAGGAATCCTTCGGGGAGCAACCTGAAAATAAACAACGCCTTCCTGAGTCTTATGTCAATGGTGAGTAATGTGCATTTAAAAAGCCATAAGTCACTTGACCAATCTTGGAGCTACTCTATACCTTTAAAAGTATATTTTAGGGAAGGAAAGAAAGGAAGCATTTATAAATTCGGAATCAGCGAGTAAATGGAAGTAACCAGGGTATTAAACTGTTCCGGGGACTTATGTAAATGTGATTTTTTCTCAAAATTCTTGCGCTACATGGGAAAAGTATTTACTGTGGTTTTGCGTCGTTGCTGAGGAGGCGTTGAACAAGAAACCGATAAATCAATTCCAGCATCTCTGAGGATCACTTCATTGATGTCATCTTCAAGATTTGGAGTCTGAGGCTGCAGCACAAATAAAAGAACTTAACTCTGTTCATAACAAGAAGAGACTCAACCACATACAACACTCACCAGCGGCTGCAAAGGGCCGTATTTCTCCATAGCGTTTTTGAAAGGAGTAGGAGTACGTGGAGTTGTGCAATACTCAGATTTGCAGTTTGGTGTGACAAACCTGGATATTTGGATTTGAGATGTTATTAAAAGATAACTTCACGAGTGTTTCGCAAACTAAGGAATACATACACAGAGTTTTCCTTCTGAATCAAAGGAGTCTTGTCACGCTGGAGAGGTGTCGTCACAGTTGCTTTCTGGCTGCAAACGGGTGTTGACGTAAGAGACGGATTCTCCAGGTCATGTGTATCCTGCTTGGTCCACATGTTGAGAAACTGAAATGGCAAATCATTTAGTGTTTTTTGAGTGCTGTAGTACGTTAGTGTATGTGTCTTTAGAAATTATCCATTATATTAGAAAGACTTTTTTTGATTTCCTGTACAATACTGATGAGAATGCCTTTCCATTGTTCATAAAGGCTGCAGTTTTCATTTTTGTTTCAGTTGTGTGCCATCTCTATGTATAAAATAATGTGTTAGATCTAGAGATGTAAAATTGTGTAGACAATCATGAGGTCTTATTTATTGAGAAAAAAATAAAAATAAAAGGAGGTACCCAACCATTTAAAACAGTCATTTAAACATAGTGACTTACCTGTGATGGGGAGAAGGGCAGGATTTTCACAGGGGTGCTTTTAGGAGTTCTAGAGTTGTTCTCAGGAGACAAAGCGATGCGTCTGTTGCCTTTTCGGTTCAGGATAGCCGGCGGAGTGACACCACCTGGAGATATTGGGATGAGCTCTCCCTTACTGCTTTTGCTCAGCTCCTGTAAAGCACTGCCCTCAAGACGAAACTGGTGGCGTTCAGGACTGGGGTTTTCTTCTGGCAAGTCAAAGGCTGCCAAGTTGCACCATCCATCCAGGTCCTAAAGAGTCAAAACAAACATTATATGGTATTACACTCATTACACTCTACATTTAAACATAATAAGGATCGTTACCTACCCCATCTACCATATCAAGCACTTCCTTCAGAACTGGGCCAGTAGGAGACAGAAAGCCTGAACCATCTACTACCCAACTGGTGATATTAGCATCTCCAGAGTCTGAATCCACTTTGGCCATCGGGTTAACTTTTGCTGCGGCCTCAGTCCTTGACAAGGAATCCTTATTTGATCCAACTCGCATAGGGGCTGAACCTGAAACTTCCTTAGGAGAGGAAAAAAACAGTATACTGTAAGTAAATAGAAACCATATATTAAAAAGTATCTTTGTTTTAAAAGGGAAGATACTTACAACATGATGCACACTAACTTTTTGGTCTTCGTAATCTATTGAATAACTGGAAACCTGTAATCAGAAATAACCAAGTTTTAAATTGATATGAGTAAAATGAATCTTTTATGAGTGACTGTACCTGTACATTCTTATCAACTTTGGTTAAGAATTCCTCAAGTTCCTCCGGAGTTATTACTTCACCTAGATAAAATCCCAGCTCAACTTTGCGTTTGATAGTTGAATTCCAATGATTCTTAACAGCATTGTCCGTCCTACATGAGGAAAAGACCGCTTGTATTCATACTTCTCAACACATATATGTGCACACGTTAGGCTTGGGCTGTAGTTACCGTCCAGGAAGTAATTTTGCAATCTCAGCCCAACGGTTTCCCAGCAGACAGTGTGCTTTGTATATGATGAGGTCTTCGTCTGCAGTCCAGGATGACTTCTTCACATCTGGGTTGAGGTGGTTGTGCCAGCGTTCCCTGCACTGTTTTCCAAGTCTCCCTTTGAGGTGCTTGGCTACTACTGCCCACTGTTTATTGCCATACCGGTTTACAAGCTCGATTACCTAAAACGTATTAAAGAATGTATTTATTTTTTACACAGAATTATTTCATAATTAAATTTACTTCAGTGAATCAGAGACATCGGCAATGCACTATTTCCAAATCTTACCTTCTCATCCTCTTCCTTGGTCCATGGACCCTTAACCAATTCTGGATCCAGAACTTTAAACCACCGATGCTGACATTGATGCTCACTGTGGGTCTACACAAAACAGTTTTCAATATAATGAATATAAAAGGCTTTTATGGAAGCCCGTTTCTGCCATGTAAAAAAAAAAAAAAAAAAAAAGCATACAGAAAGTCAACATTTTGAGTTTTAAACTCAAAATTTCGACTTTAAAAGTCAAAATTACGAGTTTTCAACTGCGCATGTGCAGTAGAAAACTCGTACGTGTTGTTGTCTGGAACGGTCTCTGGACATCCTTCACCTGCAGATTATGTGAAGATATTGCCATCAGTGACCACTGCATCCATGAAGTAGCCAGAAACAATGTTGTTTTAGTGATTCTGTAAAACTTTCCTGTTTAAGCCCCAGACCGCGGTCGTAGGACGCAGGGGGGAGCTGTCTTTTTGTTTATTTATGTTAAATTCAATTTACATTTATACAACATTTAAATCAAACTTCTTATTTCGACATAGTAACAAATAATGTGAGCAATATGTTTTTTATAATAAATCAAAGGAAAATGAGCCATCGAGTCATTCCAATCCAATCTGCCGTAGACCACTCTGACCAGACGATGACACTGAGAGGGGTCCACACGGAGCGAGTGTTTCCACGGCTGAAAGGATACGCTTTCTACGTGTTGAGTACGGGGTTTTATTCATGCATCTAAAATGGGTTTAACTCCCTTTTCAAAGAGTTATTTCTCCGGATTGTTGCTAAAAGAGTTGTGGGCTTTATTTTGTCACAATAAAATAATCAGACAAGGCACTTATTCCCTACATGTCTCTAGGTTCCAACAACTTTACCCTCACGCTCGCTCCATCAGCTCACCCCAGAGCACGCTCACGTTTAGGCCGCGCACACGCACACACGTCACATACTCTTCAATGCACTGAACGCAATTCCAAAAGGTTTAATATTGTCAGTGCCCGTGTCTGTGGTTCTCCTGCCTCTGTCTGCGGACCTCTCTCACTGTCCTGTAATCGCGAACGGTCTCTCTGTCAGTCACTATTATTATTACTACTATTATTTCACTTCACTTCACTTATTATAAGTGAAGTGAAGTGAAGTGAAAATAGTTGTCGACTATTTCAATAATCGATTAATCGTTTTCTGGTTCACACGGACTCAAACAGAGCAAAAATGACATGAAAATGTAGTATTTTTGATTAAAACCGACTTTGTTTTTATAATTTCATGAATATCTGTCTGTCTCATCCAATCAGATAGCAGAATTAGCACAAAGAGCCTGTTACACTTTAGCTTTTTGTGATGAAAAAATATTTTTTTCCTACACAATTCACAGCCAAGCGATTACTCGATTAATCGTAAAAATAATCGATAGATTAATTGATTACAAAATAATCGTTAGTTGCAGCTCTAGATGTCACCAGTGGATGGTCAATGACTTTGAACAGCCACATGTGTTTTATTATTAATCTTCCACAGTCCGTTTAGGATAAATTAAATAGAGGCTCCTGAAGCGGATTTTAATCATAAACGGAGAGACCGTTTGCATTTTAACGCGATTACTACCACAACATTATTGCTGCTACTTCATGGATGTGGTCACTGTAGGAAATATCTTCACATAATCTGCAGGTAGAGGATGACCAATGGATCTATAATAGGGATGTCCAGAGACCGTTCCAGACAACAATACATACTAGTTTTCAACTGCACATGCGCAGTTGAAACTCGTAATTTTGACTTTTAAAGTCAAAACTTTGACTTTCTGTAGGCTTTTTTTTTTTACATGGCGGAAATGGGCTTCCATAGGCTTTAATGCACGTTAAAAAAAATTGAAATAATAATAGACATACTGGAATAAGACTTGCAGTTGTTTTCCAGTCATTGGTTCCCAGTTGCTGAACCAAGGCTTTCAGTCTGTCATCCTGATGGAGGGGGGGGGAGTAAGTTATTTGTGTTGCTCCTCAGACTAGAATCTAAGAATTTAAGGTTTCACTCGCCTCTTCTTGTGTCCATTTCACCTTCAGTTTCCCACCATCCCTTTGCTCTGCCACATCTGAGTCCGTGTCCTGGTGCATGGGCTCTTCTGCATCCTCACTGTGGATAAACAATATGGGACTGAGACCATTGTTGAGACTGGATAAGGAAGTCTGCAAGCTGAATAGACGGTCCCGCCCAGATGAAACATAATGGTGCTACTGTATTTCAAATAATTATAAAACTAAAGCAGGACTAACACATCTAAAGCTCACATATGAAAAACAAAAACAGTTTACAGGACAGATCCAATGGTCTGGGGAGGAATACCAGCTAGCTTTCAGGTCGCTGCAGAAAAAAGGCGGCACATTGGCAAAATATTAACAGATAGCATTTGCGACGGCTTTAAAAAGAAGATTGTCAGGTTTTCGCTGTTTGCATACGTCGAAGCGTCAATATATAATTTTAATGCTCAGTAGAGAAAGTGGACAGCTAAAACTTAAGCAAACACAGCGATCTAAAGCGCCTACCTGCGGGGCCACCAGGACATCTTTTCGGATTTGTTAGTTTACAACGTGGGACGGGGTTGTCCTGAGGTTGGACCAGAGTGTATATGTCCGTTTTTAGGGTGTTATGGGTTATGTCTTCATGTAGAGCCCGGTCTCAGTGTGGATCCGCTCTGCAGAGAGTCCAGCTGGGTCCATAGGCTCCTGGAGTCCGCGCTCTAGTTTCTATCTCGCGCCTACGACGAAGGTGCGAACTGCGGCTGCGCGTGAAATATCTACAACTTCCTGTAGTGCATTTATTATTATTACATCTTACATTTTTTCTCCTCTATTAGCTTTATGGACCTTAAATCTGAAGTGAAACTCAAATATCTAGTTGATCATCTAAATCTGTTAAACAACAATTTTGTCTGATTTATTTATTCAATAGTCACGTCTGGTTATTTGTTTTAATTGCCTGTTTTGACGTATCAACTTTGGAGCTATTAAGTACTATGTAAATGTGTGCTCACATTTTCTTAACATAATGTAAGGTACAGAGTGTTGAGATAAAAAGTACACAATAAGTAAAGCACAACCCTTTTTCTCCTCATAGAATTTTTGACAATTTCAGGGTCAAAAATTCTTTCTACTATGAGCTGTGGAACTCAAAAGTTATTCTCCAGCTATATGGATTTACGAATACCTAAAATAAATAAATAAAATTAATCCTACTGTATATTAATATACAAGCAGAGCAAGAAATGTTTTTATTTCTCATTTTACTCAACTATAAATAATTAATATTAGAAAGTGCAAAAATCAGAAGATTAGTAAGTAAATGAAAAAAAGGACCCACCTCCTTCACATTGATGAGTTCCAGCTGGGCCAAATAACCAGCTGTAGCCTTTTAAAATGCCCCTGGACTTCAGCACACAACTAACACGCTAGAGACACCATGGATAAACCACTTATTTACAAAGGTAAGACCACTGGTTTTTGAAATTTTGGTGCAACATAACTCAATTATGCTTTTTGTAGATCTGACAGGATTCGAGAGCTCCTCCCCGTCTGTGTTTGACAGGAGGATTTATAATTCGCAGAGTATGTTGTCTGCATTATCACTTGATCAGCTATCGACATCCAGAGCGTCCAATGAAGCTGTGGCCAACAGTGGGTCTGACTCTAGGCTCTCCCTCCTGGTCTCTCCTTCCACCTCCACCTCCTCGGAACAATTCTCACCATCACAAGCTTTATTGGTGTCCAGTATAAATGAGCCCGACATTGAGGGCTGTTACTTGACCGTGCCTCTGCAAGGAAAGTCCTCCACACCGCAGTTCTTTCCTTCAAATATGAAGAAGATTGCCAACTGTGACCAGTCGTACAGTATCCTGGATGCCTCGCAGATCTCCTGGGACATTTCCCTTATTAAATCTGAGAGCCCGAAAGTGGCCATGGAGCTGAGTGCTTCAGAGTCTACATGGAGCCCCAAACAAACATCTTCCCAACAGCCTGATGCTAGACTCGGTCCTTGATTTTTGTTTTTTTCATATATAAATGTTCATATTTTAAAGATATTGCTTTAAATAAACTTTGCAAAATTAGAATGTCTTATGTTTTGAATAATTTAATAAAGCAGGTGTTTGACCTTATTTACAAAATTGTTAACACGATGAGTAGATGCACACATTATAATGGATTGAAAGGCACCTCTGGTTCAATATCTTGTTCCTGTAAAAACAATGCAGCTTTATTACTGTAATTCAATTTAAGTAAAATGATTGTCATGAGAGTCTGACAGGTTACCTGATTCAATTTTCTGAATTCAATAACTTTGAAAAATACATGTTCCAAGATGTGCTTAGCATCTCTCTTCTCTTTATCCAACTTTGCAGTTACCCCCAAAATCTCTCCACATTTTCTCACATAAAACTCAAGATCATCTTCTGTACCTGTGAAAATAGTTTGAATATTAAGGTGTTCTGGTAATACAGGAAAGAAAGGTACAAATCAACTTACAGGTGTTGGTGAGTTGTGCAAGGCGTACTTTTTCAGATGAGAATGATTCATCCAGATCAAAAAGATCAAGCATTGGTGGAGGTAACTCACTGATAGAAGCTGGAAAGACCTGAATAGAAAATGACTTGGGAGTAATGCAAGCTATGGACTGTGAGCAGCACAGAGAATAGCCTCCTGTTGGTGTCAAGAGTCAGAACTAAACATGCGGTGGCTGTGTTTCCGATTTATGCCTCTAAAATGTGAAACAGGCTTCTACTCTGACATTGTTCAAATTCAGGTTAGCTGTGAGCATACAACTGAAGGATTACATCTTCACTCTTTTTATGCAATGTAACTTAATGATTTTAATGCCATATGTGATTTTTTTTCTTGTTTTGTAAAGTACTTTGAGTTTCCTTATGTATGAACTGTGCTATACAAATAAACTTTTCCCAACAGCTACACTACTAAATGCATGAATACTTACAGCCGGCTGGAGCTGAGGTAAGGGAGTCTCAAACTGTGGAGTGATCAACTGAAGAGGCTCGGATTTAACATTAAGCTGTTTGTAGGCACTGTAAACAAAGACATGTTTATGATATTTACTTTTGCAAGAGGTCCGCCACCTCTTTGACAATGTGGATAAGGGATTCATTTAGTCACAAGTGCAGTATACATGTTTCAGCTGTATGTTATTTTAAATATCACTTGACTTACCTAATAACGTGGGGCAAAGAGTCGGTGGACATGTTGAACAGAGACACATCGTAGAGTGAAGTGAAGTCCCTGGGATTTTCGTCACCCTCTTGTAAAGAGACTCGCAGTTGCTCAGACAAGCTTCCAGTGTCTGGCAACAGGGTGTAATCTGTGATCTGAGGGTGGAAAGACCAGTGACTGTAAACATGCGTATTGTGCAGCCTGCTGTGTTATGTACATGTGTGCTTAAAGCTGGGGTACCCAATGTTTTTCTTCAGAGATTTTATTATTTTATTTTTTATTTATACTTTATTAAGGACTCACATGCACGCACAGGATCCATAGCTAAGAATAATTAAAGAAAAGTTTTTAAAAATAACAGAACAGAGTTAAAACACACATAGTAATCACATATTCACATATTTAGACCAAGTCACACATACAGAGAAGCACGCCAGTGACTCCAGAGCAAAGAAGTGAACCTGACTGAGCTAATGTAAGGACAAACCAGTGACTGTACAATAGCATTAGGCACCCTCACCACTCTACACATGAACCGATAGTAGCAGTGACGTAGGGCAGCAGGAAAGGAGCGCACCCTGCACTCAGCAAACATCTGACTCGCACTACTGTGTCTGGGGATCTTCAACAGCATCCTCATCGAGTCATTATAGGCAACAGTTAACTTCTGCAAACTGGCCTGCTTATAGCTCCGCCATAGTTGGGCTGTGTATAAGGGAGCACAAAAAGATTGGAACAGGGAGGTTTTAACATTCACAGAGCACATGTTAAACTTTCTGACCAGCATGTTGGATTGGCCATACAGTTTACATCTCTGTCTGTGTATATCCCGGTCGTCTGTGAGGTCACTGCATATGTAATGGCCAAGGTACTTTACCTCCTCACTGACATTTAGAACATTACCACATAGGGAGAATGCAGGAAATACAGATTTTATGTCATTTTTTGTCCTCACAATCATGATGAAGCTTTTACTAGAGTTATATTTTATATCATTTTGAAGACCGTACTCAGAGCATATCTTGAGGAGCTGCTGAAGTCCTGCACTGTACGGACTGAGCACAACCAGGTCATCGGCATACATGAGGAGGTTAATCACTCTGCCTCAGACAACACACTCAGTATTACAGTGATTGAGCTGTACAGATAAATCGTCCATATAGATGTAAACAACAGGGGGGACATCACACTACCCTGCCGGACTCCATTACTGACCTTGAATGAGTCTGACACTGACCCACCCCACTTCACCCGCATACTCTGCTGTGAGTACCAAAATATGAGGACCCTAATAAGGTAGCCAGGAACACCTCTATTAGATAACTTCCTGAAAAGCCTCTGATGATTAATCCTATCGAATGCTTTGGATGCATCTAAGAAACAGGTGAAAATTGTGGAACCTTGACTGTGGTACTTGTCCAGAATTTCCTTAAGGGCAAAAATACACAGATCAGTACCATGCTCTTGTTTGAATCCAAACTGGTTTGCAGCTGTATAAAGGTATGGTTCAAGTCTGTACAGAATGATCCTCTCAAAAACCTTGGCCACACAACTGGCCAAGGCAATAGGCCGATAGTTGTCCTTACTGTTGAGTTTCCCAGCCTTGTCTTTGATTACTGGGACAAGTAAGACTGAAATAAGTGACACAAATTAGCAACTTCTGTTTTTCCCATCCAGAAGTTTTGTTGTAGTGGGAAAACATTCAAATACATTTATATTCTAAAATGATGTTTTCAAGAGTTTGTGATGGGATGGGATAGAGTTTGATAGATTTCAAGATATATTTCCTAATACATTTTGAAAATCAGGCACCCCAGCTTTTATCACATTATTTATACAAGAGACTAAGTTCCTACCTCTGGATTTTCTGCATCAATCTGATTAAGATGGATCCCATCAGTCATAAACCACTGCAGTATAACATCCTAGGAATAAGCATGAATATACATGACACAAAACATATGATTAAACAATACTGGGATGTGCAAAGTAATAGTCAACTAACCAGGATTTTACTATTTTCCTCCTTGTCAATGTACTGGTCACTAAACATGAGGCAAGAACCCATTACCGCTAGTTTGCCAGCCTCCTTGAAGAAACAGATGAAAATATGTTATAATCTTCAGCCAAAAATATGATCTGTGTTTCATTGTTTAAGAAAGAACTTGCCTTTCCTTGGTAAAACGCTAACACCGGTCTGTTAAGGGGGGAACAGAACGATCCAGTTGAGAGAACAGCGATGGCAGGTTTCATTACACTCAGGGTTGCACCAAATGGATAGACAAATGTTAGAGCTCTGAGGAAAGAAAGAAAAGAAAAAAGGATTAAATTGTGTGCAGCAAAAAAATACAGTTATGAAAAAAAACCTGGTACATACTGTGCATTATTCCCTGCATTTTCTTCTTCCATAATTCCCGTCACTGCTTTTCCAGCAGCTCGGCTGATTTCTCTACATACAACATCATACAATAATGGACTTGAGTGCCAAAATGTATACCGGAACTAACTAAACCATAAATTAATGACAAACCTATTCAAGACACCATTGGATACAAGTGCCTCCTTTGGATGGAAGTATTTATAATATGTGTTCCTCACAACTGCATCTACATGTCAAATATAAATTTTAATAAAGTTAAACATTAAATTCATTGTAACTTATTTAAAAATATTGATCGACAGAACACCTGCAGACATACCACTATTGACCATTATACCCAGATCTTCAAGCAGAAAGTTAATATTAGTGTCAAACTTAGATTCTCCTCCTTCACCAAGCATCACAAGTACGTTTCCTCCTTTATCGAGGTATTGCTTGAGTATTTCCATCTGTACAAATTAGAAGAATTGTCAAAGTATTTGTTGTTTGTGGTGAAGTACATACTGGTGAGGTAATAATTAACAACCTCTGAGGCTGTGAACTTCTCCCTCGGACCGGCAGTAATCCACAATCGAACTCCCTTCAGCCGATCCAGTGCCAAGTCCTCCTTCATACTACACATGTCAAAGATGAAAGAATTATTCCACTGGTGAATTTGCAGACAAGCATAGAATTAAGTTATTTACCTTTGAATTTTCCATTGTGCATTTAGTTTCTTCTGCAGTGACTTGTATCCGCTACTAGTAGTGAACAGTTCTTTCTTTGAAGCATTGAAGATCACGGTGTTATGCTGATCTTTAGCTATCATTTTTCTCCCCTTATCTTGTAGCTGTGACACCATAAACATACAGACGCATTTCGTGTAACAATCGGTGTTTATAATATAATCAAAAACAGGAACAACATTTACTGACACGGGCAACTTTTCTACGTTTAATCAATCAATGACTCAAAGAAGACAAACACAGACCAGACCATGTTGGTACTTCTCTGGTTACACTTGTTTGTGTGTCTGTTGTTACGCTGTTGTTACAAAAGTTAAGCTTTAAGTTGTGAAGATTACTGACAGTCTGTATATAGTACGATATCACCACAGTGGTAAAAGAAGCAGCAATAACTAGCGTTATTTTTCATTTGGGTAAGATTTAATTAGCTGGTGTTAGCCATATGGCTAACCAGGCTAGTGATAAAGAGCATTAACTTAGCTAGCTTATGTGTTTTAGAATGTTTCTTAGGAATAATAAAAACCCACCTTGGTTACCAATGATACGGTGTCATCAAGGCATTCGAGTTACACGAAAATGTGTCGTGAAAATCCTGAAATGTGTAAACTAGATAGAAATATTTGAGTTTGTTGTTGCTTTCTTGTGCATGTCGGGTAGTTCGGATGGGAGATTTCCCCGTCGTTCATTGGATAAAACGAGGATGAAGCTCTTCACTCTGTCGTATACTCCAATCCACGGCCGGGAAAACGAGCTCCGCCCTCGGAGGAATCTCCCACCCGGACCACCCTCCGGCTACCCTGAAACACCCATGGGACGACCCAACATGCAGCACTATGGCAGCTATATGAGCTGGTAACTAAGGGCGCCGACCCATAGCAACGGGACACAGTCCTCACTGCTGATCCCAGTAACGCTCTCAAGACTTGAACAAACTCAACGTTAGCTGTGTACGTGGTCACTCTTTGAGTGTGTCCATGATTCTTTGTTTGATTATGATATAATATAATTATGTCATGAACGTTCCAAAAGCTTTATGGTTATATTTGTAACGTGAGAGCTAACGCTAGGTTAGCTCGCGTTAACTCAACATGCTAACTTTTGGAATAAAGGGGCAGTTTTGAAGAGACTCATAATTTATTGGTGATAAATACAAACATCTTAGAGTTCACAATAATATATATTGAGCACATAAATAATTACGTAACTTATTAAACGATAAAATCACAATGGATGGAATGGAATGTACAGACTAAATTACAGTAGGCTGAATGTGATTACAGTTTGCTGCTGTGCTTGGCTGACTTCACTCTGAGAACACCCTCTTGGGAACAAGAGGCTGCCAGGACCCCATCTCTTCTCCACATCTTGCCTTGGACCAGACCACGACAACCCCCTGCAGAAGAAACAAGCATTTTGTGAGTAATACTGGTTATGGTAAAGTTAAGGAGAAAAAAGTTTGCAGATAGAAAACACATTATTTCCATAGCCATTTTTGATGTCACAAATACAAAATTGAAAATGCATAATACATACAGTGCATGGATGAAGATTTTAATTGTGAAAAAACCCCAGATATGAATATAAAAAGAAAAATACAAACCTGCCCAAGGGCTTTCACACTCATAGAGCATCCACTCATCACTGCGGAAAGTGCTGTGAAACCACATGGCGTGGTCTAGGGAGGCAGAGAACATCACCCTTTGGTTGGGATATGGCAGGAGTGCTGTTCTCAGGAAAGAATAGTCTGATACATAAGCAGCAACACAAGTATGCAGCTTCATGTTTCCTTCTCCTAGAAAGTGAATCACAAAATTATAAATGCAGTTTAACAAGATAAGAAGAGATATGGAGATTATGGCAATTACCTATAAATCCTCGAGCTCTGACCCAAAATACCATCTTTGGCTCAGTAGCAAAAGCTCTGTTGAATGTTGGTGGACTAACAGGCTTTATTTCAATGGGCACCTCATTAGCAAGCAGTTTATTGAGACCCAGTTTAAGGTTTTCAGCAAGATCCGGCTTACTATGAATACAAATTGTCTATTACTCAAAAGACCACATGATAGAAAACAGATTCCAGTTTGTGAGCATATTTACTTAAGATAAATTTGTATTAGTTCCTCTATTGTTCGGAGGTCTTCTGGCGGAGGCACGACAGGCATGGTGAACTGATGTTCAATTGGACTGGGCTGCAGAATGTGAAAAGAGGCCTGGCAGATAAGGATGGGCTTTCCGTGTTGAATTGCTTTGACAGAGCGAACAGAGAAACTGCGGCCATCTCTGGTGCGGTCCACCTGGTACAGCACTGGTACTTTGGGGTCACCTAGAGAATATACAAAAGTTCATCAAATGTAATGCCACTCTTTCACCTTGCATGTGCACGAACCATACCTGCTCGTACAAAGTAGCAGTGAAGAGAATGGGCATAGAGACTATCGTTGACCGACTTGGCAGCTGCCACCAGAGCTTGGCCAACTATTTGACCTCCAAACAACCGTTGGGACTTGGGGACCCAATGATGTGTTCCTCTTAAAACAGAAAACAAATAACTCCGGACTGACTGGACATGGCCATGGGCCATATTGTACAGTTTGTGAAAATACCGGTATAATAGTAATATTCTATCCTATATACATATTCTCAATGTGCCCTACCTGAAGCTGGCTCTAATCTCAAAAGTGAGGAAAAATGAAGCTAAATTCTCTAAACGTGATCAGTGTGTTGGTATTGAATGTTGCATGTTATGTAAATTTTGTAGTCTGATTTAGAGTATTTAAATAACATGTATCAAATATTAAGGCTAACTGCAATAATACAGTAGTATAAAACACAGCCCTTGCAAATTGACATTAGATTGTGATCAAATATTGATATATCAATGACAGTGCAAATCCTTCAAAGGTTCAAATTGCTTGTTTACTCCTGTAGTATGCCTGGATCTATTACAAAATACAAATTTAGGCTCACAATTCAGCAGGAACCAGAAATAACCAAAGCATTTCCTCAAACCAGGATGTGCATGTAGGCAACAAAAGTGCATAATAACAAGAGGCTATAATGCTATAGCAATAAATTCAGATAATCAGCCATGATCGAATCAAACCTTGTGTAAACATGAAAGCATACGATGGGATGACCGAATAAGTTAAATGCTATATATATATTTTAGTATAGTGTTGTTATTCTCTTTGACTCAAGGCGTACCTGTACAAGTCTACATCCAGTGTCTCGAGGTTTAGGACACTGGTGACCAGAGCCCCCCTGAGGTCCTGGCTGAAGCTATGGGACTGTTCTTTACTAGTTTTGGGGTCATCTTTATTTTCTACTAAAGTCTCTGCTCTATCTTCCGCCATGATTCTTCTTCCTCTGGTCTGTACACAATAAACCTGTGCGTGCTTTGCTCATTGAAGCCCTCTGCTGGAGTTTAGGGGAATTAGGTATATGTGAATTTAGAGGAATTTCCCAAATTTTAGGAAAGAACTGCCCTCTCCTCTTTTTGAACCAAACTCTCTGGTCTTGTTTGTCTAGCACGTATCACCAGAATTATTCACAATTGAGAGAATCAATAGTCTTGATGATCCACAAGTAGAAAATCCTCCTATTTAGCGTTGAATATTATATTGCGTATATTTGAACTCCGAGATAGGTTAGTGGTCAAATCTGTGCTGTGGAGAGGGGATCGTATTCACAGTAAAAATGCACGCTTTTTAAAGTAATTTAACACTAGAACTGTATCAGAAGCTTTAAGGCCGTAGTCCAGTGTTATTACCCCTACTGTTACAATATTGGTGTCGTGCGCATTCTGGTGGCCTGCTTACTTTATCCATAACGTGCTATCTACATTGGCAAATTGTCAGTCACTATTTGATGCTGATTGGCTGAGCAAGGTCCTCTCTTCCTCTTATAAGAATTCAGAAAAATTCAGGTAAAATTAACTTTACAATGGATATCAAAGCCCTGCGCTTACAGCAGGGACAGGTGAAAAATGACAAATGTCTATCAGATGTGCTTTTTTATCTACTTTGGAACTATTCCAAGTAGTATGTTGTTTAGTGCAAATGTTGCAGCCTCAACAGTAATACACATCAAAAGGGTTGTACCGTAGGTTGGCCACTAGGGGGTACTATTCGATAGCCTCACCAAATGAAAATTTCTATTATAATGGGCTGTCACAATGAATACTAGTAGTATGGCATTTGCTTGTTTTATTTAGACTATTTTAATTCCAATGTTGGTTTACATTTTATTTTGTAGCAACATTATTCAAAGTCATTAAAACATATTTTCTTAGCATAAGCTATGTCAAATTAGAGTTATCTAATATTAATTCATCAATCAAAACAGTTCTCAACACCATCAGTGCAATAATCTTGCAAAAAAACCAAAAACACAGTAAATTCATTTAATAAATTATTTGTTATGGTCTATGTGAATACATGCTAAAATTATTGTATTTAGAAAAGTCTGTCGGCACATCATAAAACCTTACTTTCTTCCTATGCATTGATACGACCGGGTGACTCTTGCCAACATTTTCAACCGTCTATATCTTGAACCGGGAATTGCATGAATTCTCTTTCCCCCTGCATCCACAACATAATGTGTTTCCCTTTGTGTGTTGTCTGATGGGGCTCTTGTGGCTGTGGTGAGGCAAGGCTTCAAGTGGTGCTCCTCTGTTATTTTTGGCACAAACAGCGGTTGGTGGCTGTGGAGCAAAGAGGAAAGACAGAGAGGGATCGCATGAAGTCCAAAATCAAGACAGTCTGAAGGATTTGCTTTGTAGGGATCAAAGACTATATGGCATTTGAAATTTAGCCACACTGAACAACTTTAGCATTAAACGGTTTTATGAAATACAATTACAACAGCTAACAACAATCAAATCTGAACTTTGTTACTTCACAAAGCATAATGTCCAGTAACCAGTAGAGGGAGTTGTTGAAAACCAAAAACCTAATCATCATGTAATTATTATTTTTGACCAAGGACAACCATAAAAAATAAATAATAATACATTAAATTTTGGTCAACGCATAGGGAGAAACTTAAGGCTTAAGGATAACTACATACATGGTGTTTTAACTGGTCAGCTTGCTAAACGGGATATGCCATTCATCACTTTGTGACTTTTTCTGTATATATTATGTCATTTATAAAACTGGTGGAATCCACCAGTTTTATAAACTCCATTGATTTGAAAGGAAGCCATCAAAATGATTGCTCTGGGAGTCATTGAAGTCTCAGAATTCTTAGTCTTAGTGTTATTATTTTGGATGGGTTTTTTGCTATCCATGTTTGTCAGTAGTTTGCTTTGCTTATTCAAAAACCATGAGTTTTGAGTTGTGTTGAGTTCACTCACATCATGGTTTATTGGCAGGTTTAGACTGCTGATGCCTCATTTCCTAGGATCTTCCAATTACACTGTTAAGAATAATGCCTTGAAGAGAAATGCACAACTTGTCTCCTACATAAATCAGATACTGTTCCACCATAGCTTTCATTACATAGGAAACATTTCTCCGTTGAGCACTTTGCTAAGTCTTTGTGGGAGTCTGCGCGCGGTCTAAACCCATTCAACATACAGTGTCAGCCATTATTGCTCCTCCTTATGCACTACTGAAAAAAAATTCTCCATCTTGGCTTCTGATCAAGAGAACTCTGCTTTATTTATTTATATATTGTGGTGGTAAGTTGTAGCCCGGGTGTGTGTTTGTCTGTGCAGAGTGTGTGCCCGTTAAGCCGCAAAGATATTTCAATTTCTTCAGAATATTAAATAAACATGCAGCAGCGGCCTCAGTGCTAGTGGCTTAGGGCTGGTTGGGGGTGGTGCCAGTGGTTAGAGGGGGTTGAGAGGGGACAGGCTCAGGGGGGTTAGGACACAGTGGCGCCTCGCACTGGAGGACTTCAGAACCACATCACTCCTCCACCAAATCCCTGCCAGCCCTGGATACAGTCCTCACTCTGCTTGTCCACTCTTTGCCTCTGTCCCCTGGTCTGTGCGTCTATAAGCTGCGTTTTAGTCCAACCACGTAGCAAAAGGATACTATCTTTAAAGTTGGGATACCCAACTTTCAAACCACATAAAAAATAACTATATGTAAGAAAATCTTTTGAGCTATAGTTTCTCACTCTCAAAGCAGTTTGGTTCTAATAGTATTTTTCATTTGCATGGATGTCACTCATTGGCTCGGCTTTTTCAGAAAAAAAGAGGACCACCCTCAGTTGGCCAATCAACACTCAGCCCAAAACACAAAACATATGTATACTTCTTAAAGACTAAACAAACAACTTGTGTTATGAGAAAAAGGTAGGTACCCCAGCTTTAGAAGTAATTATTTATTTTGAACTTGCAGCAAATTTTCACAGACATCTACATAAACAAATACAAAAGTACATGGTTAAAAAAGGGTTCATATTGTAACATTGCACAGCAATTTCTTAGCTTCTTTTTCCCCTGGAAGCAATTTGTCATCCGGACGCCATTAAACGGCATACAGATTATATTTTTAACACAGTCACCCACACGCCACCCTCCGCTCATACAGTATAAACAAAATAGGGTCATTTACTGGTCCTCTTGTTATATTGAAACACATAGGAGGGGCCCCTTTAAACTTGAAATACAACTGTCATCTAAAGATGACGTCAAGTAAAATAGTGGATTAGAACATCAAATGGGAGCATGTAAATGGCTGATTATTTCCCTCATAAAGTTGTGTTTGTTTGCTGAGTGGAGAGGGTGGCCTAACCTCCCTCACCACTGTGATAATAGCTACAATCAAATGCTGGATAAAGAAAGGAAGTTCCAACATACTACACACTTGAACACATTTAGTTAACCGTTTAAATCCTTTTCAATTAATGCCTAAGGAAAAAAAACAAAACTGCATGTACGGTAGATTTTTTCTTAGCTTCTAGTTTTTAATTGCTCCTATATTCTTACTGTTCTCCTTGCAACTCTCAAACAAATGGTTCTCTTATATTTGTTGGAAGTAATAATATATGTTGATGTAATAAGAAGTGTCCCAAGAGCTTTCATACTCTTGCTCCCTCTGGTGATGATTTAGTTTGAAAGGATAAGCTGCATAGACGTTGTTTTCCCACTAACCTGGCCCTTTGTGCTCTGAGGGTCACGTTATAGTTCCCCTCTGGTTCATTCAGGTCAGCTTACGTTGTCCCCCTCCAACATATGTAAAGATCGCAAAGCCCAGAGGCATCAACACACGCATACCACAGTCACCTGCAGACTTGCGCTTTTGTCCTCTCATCCCTGACTTCAAGCAAGCACCCATGCCCCGGGCCATGCAGCTCTTCATTCAGGCTGAAAAGACTGCATATAATGTGTGTCTCAAACGTTGTGCTGTGATATTTCTAACTGTAGAAATATTTATACTAAATCTATGTCTGTGTGGTTATAAATCAAAGTATTGCAGTATGGCAAGTATTGCTTATAGGACTTGTATTTCTTTTAATCAAAAATTAGTATTCCTTGAATAAAATTTAGTAAACTACATAATACTCATTTGCTGTCTTTGAATGGAGAAAATGCATTGTACTAAACAACAAGTCTTTGCACAAATTTTGTCTGTCCAAACCCGAACCATAACCCCAACCATAACACAGTGGCCGCTCGTGCTATGTATAAGCTATTTATAATGTTCACTACAAGTGCCTATATCACACAAAAACATACTTATGTCAAACTGATCCATCTTTTCACATAGAGAATTCCAATTCCAGACATGCTGAATTCATATAGTCACTGCAGAACACGTTTACATGTTTTATCAGTTGTTGTTTTAGCTTAAAGGTAGGAAAGGCAAACCACATTTATTTGTATAGCACAGTTACACAAGGCAACTCAAAGTGCTAAACAAAACAAGAAAAGAAATAAATATTAAATATTCACAGTACATTAACAAGAGTGAAGATACAATCTTAAACTGTTTTTAATCTGGCTAGAAGTAGCAGCTTGTCTCACATTTTCAGGAAGTCTGTTCTGGATTTTAGCTGGATAAACCTGAAATGCTTCCTCCCCAGATACATTCAAAACAATGAACCGCCTGCAATTCCGCAGGGGAAGGGTTGTATTTTCTCCTCATAGTTCATCTAAAATTAGTAAGTAGGCAACATGTGTTTTATTAGCACATGTTTTTTTTTATTCCATGCAGTTGCAAATGTTTTGTCCCAATAGTATTCAACTGGTTAGGCCTCCACATGGTCAGGGTCAGCAGCACTTTCGCTTCTCAGCAAGAAGGCCCTGGGTTTGAGATGGGTCCCCGGGCGCTGTGCTTTCCTTAGAGGACAATAAAGTATAAATTAACTTAACGTAACTTAGTCTGGATGTGGAAATGTCTAGAGAGTTGTGCCTTTCTAGGTTCACAAATGTATGCAAGTGACACCTCAATTGATTTGGGACTATTTATCAGGTTTTTTCAGTGTCCATAAATGTTAGTTCTACACAACAAAGCAAACAAAGCCAGTGTTTCCTGGTGACTTTTGAAACTTTGGACATTTTAACTGTCACTCTGCATTCTTTGTGATAGCATAGTGTGAGTGAGAGGTGCAAAAGACCAATCCATATGGAAGCGATTGTCAGAACATATTTTTACTCTTTTGTGGTCTTATTTGAAGCAACACTTAATGTTTCCTAGCTTCCAAAAAAGATGTAAAAATAAATCTAAAGGCAGTGTCACCACAAGTGTTGAGGGAACCAGTAGCAGTAGGGTGCTCTGGAAAGCCACTGACCATCTTCACAACCCCCCCACCCTGACACACCCAAGCCAGCCCCTGCTCCTCCTGTGGGGCTTTTATGTTGTGGAGTGGACCGTGCGCCCACTTCAGACCACCATAAACATGTCGGTGCCTGATGACAGAGCGGGCAGAGGGACGTTTTATATAAATTGACCTCAACTACAGCTCATTAGATGCCCTAAATTAGAACCATGCAGCCGGGACGTGTAAACGCTACATCCACTCTTCAAGTCCGGTCTGCAACTTCTGCACGTCTAGTTCTGTCAGATGTACTGATTTATTTGTCGTTTCGCATGCACAATATAAATACAGTCACATGTTATTTCAATGTGCGCAATGTGTTGTGTTAGTTGTTCCAATAATAGTTTCTTGTTTTTCCAATAATAGTTTCTTGTTTTTCGCTTGTAGGCTCATGTTGCTTGACAGACAAATCTTTAAAAGGAAAAAAAGAAAAATTACAACAGAGCAAAAACCTCAAAACTAACTTCACATATTTGTAGATTAACTCACTCAAAATGTGTATATTTTTGAAACGTTTTATTACATTTCTTCATACATTACTCTCTCCAATCTTTTCATGTAACTTTATAGAATGAGTGATATAGACAAAGTATTGCATTGGTAAGCAGGATTGACATGAGACATAGAGGCAACTGGGTTGTGTGCCATGATGCTATTGGGCAAAGATTGTTAACTTCTCTGCCTAAATACAAACGCATCCATTTAAGAGCGGCTCAAGCATATATGTTCAGATTAGAACTCAACAAACACTTTGCATAGTTCCATGCAGGACATCTGCTCTGGACACTGTTTTTTTCCTGAGGCTATCTCGCCTTTAATGCCATGTGGTCAGTCCACCCTCTTCAAGTATTTTTATTGGTTTGAAATGGCCTAAGTGGCCTAACAGGAACGTTGGTTGAAAGCTGAGTGAAGCAGTGACACATATTGTAAACTGGCAATTGCAGATGACAAGTGTATTTGTACTGCATTTCACTGAAGCATAACATTTTGGGCTTTCTTCCCCCATTTATTCATTCTGTAATTGGGGCCCTTTGTTTGACCACCTCCCTCAATAGACAATGTAGGGACATCTTCCTTCTTCTAATCTCTCCTCTCCACTGAGCATCATAATTACCCATGCCAGAGGTGAGTGTGATACAGTGGTCCCTGAAAGACGGCATTGTGCTGAGCCGAGACCTCACTTGAGAGGATGCCTTTGTTTATGCTGCTCAAGATAATGAAGCTATGTGACGTGGAAGTATACGAGAGGAGTGAGATGAGGCCAACATACCAAAATCAAGAAATCATGAAAATGCATTTTAGATATTTTACTTTTAAAAGCACCAGTAAGTGGTGAATGCTCATCACAGCAACATGTATGTTGTTAATATTTACAGTAATATTTCTCAATAAAACATAGTATAAACAAATCATGTATGTAAAAAATACATCTTTATAGTCAAATCACTAAGACAAAGATAAAGGCATCATCTTGGAGAAAATCGGTGATTTGTGCCAGAATTATAAAAGCATTATTCAAAAAAAAACAGACAAACTTATACATGCAACATCTATAAATAAACCTTTAACATAGCTTAAATATGGCTATGTTTAGAGAAATAAATAAAAGGTTTTAATTTATTGTGAATTTCACTATTGGACAGCATCATTCTGGCACAATATTTCCTACATAGGTGGCAAAATAGTCTATAATTTAAGTCATAAATTAGATTTGTAATGTATGTAAATATGACATTAAATAAGCAAAGAAAGAAATCCCAAATATTCAACAACACACAACAAAAATAGTAAGTTAACAAATGCTTAAATACAGTCAACAGTTGTAGTATTCAATATCTTAAATAACCGAAAGCCCCTGTGCTGTGTCCTACATGCTGAAGATGCATGTCATTGGGTTTTAAGTATTTGTTCCGTGTACGATGGCTCGAGACCACAATCTGCTCATGTCCATGGGACAAAGAGAAGATGAAGGTTGTACTTTCTGAATGAGACTTGGTATCTTCATTACAGCCATACTCTAGCTGTCTCTTAAATGTTCCATTTTTTTGTTTTTGTTATTCATAACAAAGCAGTGTCCTGGTATGGTCACTTAAATCTCCAACAGTCCACTGCTGTTGTCCACTCCATTGTTTGTTCCGGTTTTGTCATCTCCGTTCGGGATAGGGTCAGAGGTGGGGTTGGAGGGAAGGACACCAGTGTTCATCTCTGTAGGGTCTTCGGTGCGAGGGTCTGTCTCTCCCTCTGCAGTCTTCCCCTGCAGGGCGGACTCGGCGTGGGTCTTCTGGTGTTTGGAGAGGTGGTCGCTGCGGGTGAAGCGCTTGTTGCACAGCAGGCAGGTGAACTTCTTCTCTCGGGTGTGGGTGCGCACATGCCGCTCCAGCTCATCAGAGCGTGTGAAGCGCTTCCCACAGAACAGCCAGTTGCAGACAAAGGGTCTTTCCCCAGTGTGCCAGCGAAGGTGGGCTTTCAGGTGGGATGCTTTCCCGTAAACCTTCCCACAGCCTGGTATATGGCAACTGTGGACGGGCTTCTTCCTTAAGGAGGCGGCTGAGGCTCCGAGCCTCTCCAGCTCTTGACAGTTGGGACAATCGCATGATGACCTTGTGGGTGCTCCACCTCCGCTGTAGCCCCCTGAGCCCCTAGCAGGCTTGAGCCCCATCTGGCTCTCCATCAGCCCAGTACCGGCCACAGGCTTGGGCTTGTACATATCCTGGGGCAGCATGTGCTGTGAAGGCTGCAGGAGGTGAGACGAGGAGCCCAGGCCCACAGAGGGGTAAGGGGCTGGGTTTAAGGGGGTAAAGTCAGTACTATAGCTGGGCAGCTGTGGGCTGAGTGAAGCTTGGGGGGGCACTGTCTGCAGTGAGCCCTGCAGACCGCCATCAGACTGGGGTTGTGTAGCCGACAGCCAGTTGGAATTGGGGTGGACATCCCACCAGGAGGAAGTGGCGTTGGCAGGGGCAGTGGTAATACCCGGAATGCCAGCCTTGTACCAGGAGCCATAAGGATGTGTCATGTCCAAAGAGGTATACACACTGGTCAGGCAGTCAGCTGTGGCGTGGGCCTTAGACACTAACAGAGATGGGTCCTGGGACACTGAGGTTTGGAACGAGTGGGAGAAAGGATTGTACTCTGAAGTGTAGCCTCCGGCAGAAGGAGGGGGGCTCCCTGTCGGAGTGAGGAGGCCGCCGCTGCCTCCTCCAGTTGTGGTGAAGGAGCCAGTGTAGGAATCCGCCAGGCCAGAGTCTGCGGTGCGGCCGTTTTTGGCTGCCTGAAGGTCGGAGGTCATGATGTATTGCTTCTTTATGGGCGAGGTGCTGCCGTTCTTACTGGGGGTGGCTGTGTCCCTGATGGGGCTGATGCTGCCGAACTTATTACAGGTAGCAGTTAACATAGCCAGGGGACTGGAGCCATAGCGTGTGTCTTCCTGTGAACAGATAAGAGGAGTGAGACGCAGTGTCTGCTTCTGTCAGTGTCAACACTAATAAAAAGCGTATGTCTGACTGCCACTGCGGGCTCTTCCTGCTCTCCCCCTTTTTAAAGCAGTCAGGCCAAGTTTCAAGCAATGCATGTCAATGCATATGTTTGCGATGGTTCTGCTTGGCTCATTTCAGGATTCCCCCACAGCTATTGTTTCACTTAAACCACTGTCTCTAAGCTTTAAAAAAGAGAAGTCGTGTCATTGCATGACATTTGGCAACACACAATATACCCATGCAGTTTACGATTAACCCATAGAACAGAAATACTAGGCAATTATACATGTGAGAAATGTGAAAGGTTTTGGAAAGTTATTTAAAATCCTGTAGTTGCTACATGATCACATTTCAACTCTGCAGTATGGCAGTAAACGTATAGTATTATACTATACTATACACTCATTTTGAGTGCTTAAAAAATAGTGCTTCTTGTTGTGTGCGTTTGTCTGTCGTCATAGACTTTAGTTTCATCCTGATATGTCAGATGCTTGTTTAAATAAAATGTTTTATGATTATTATTTGATACCATAATGTGTCATTATTACAAACTGAGGACATTTGTAAAACAATGTCTAGAAATCTATGAATCTTCATCAAAACAGTTAAATAGATAAAAGCAGCTCTACCATACTTAATGCATTTACATTCCTTGTGAGAAGAGAGATATGCTATATTTCTTTTTGTCTTGTGACTTTTCTTAAATAGTTGTTTTATTTGAAGTAGATTTTCAAACTTAATTCACACTTTACACTCCAAAACTATTACTCACATGTAAGAACAACTCAAAACATACATTAAATGAGATTTGATAAAAGATAATAAAAGTGTACTTACAATTACATTCCCTACCTCCAGAATAGATCCGGCCATCCCTGAGAAACTAAATCCTATGGAAGCGGAGGGGAGCAGAGGAGAGGCGCTCTGAGTCCCAGTGCAGACAGTGTGGAAGAAGTTGGCCACTAACGCGGGGAAGTGTTTTGAGGTACTGGAAGCCCACCCCCTAATTACAGTCTCTGACTCTTTGAAGACTCACTAAAGAGCAATAAAAACTCAAGCCACGGGGACAAGTCAATGTGATTGGAGGGAAGAAAAGAACAGCCAACCCTCCCAAACAAGCAGCGGCCAATCACATTGCGCGATAAAGGCATGAATGGGTTACTCATCAATCACCACACGGACTTTATATTTCAATTTTACTTACCATATTTCTTTCACAAGGATTTGTTGTAGGCGCCTAAAGGAAAGACACTTTTTAAACATCTCACTGAGAAATCTTGAAAAATACATCTTGAAGAATACATTGGTCAATTTATGGAGAAACACTCATTTGAGATGCTTTTAAGTTTTTAACTGTTACTGGTGGAGGTTTTGTTGTCAATTGTTAATATCAAGTTATCTTTTGAAAAAAAAAAACGATTTTGTTTTTGTTTACCTGATCACAGAGGGCTTCCACGAAAGAATGGGATTGCATCATTCACTTATAATAATTAGTCTAAAAATATTTTCTGTTCACTTACAGTGGAACAATTTATATACAAAGCAACCAGTGATTTGTTCAAAGATAGTAGTGTACTTGAACTGAATAATACATTTTTGGACGCTCCATACTCAGTGGTGATGAACTACTACTGTAGCAACAGCTGCCCAGGGACACTATCATACGCAAGGCAAGCAGTATGTTCCGTTGGCCCTTCTGACCACCACCAACTATTCACACACACACACCTGACTCATTCTTGGAAATGTGGGTGAAGGGTCTTGCCTAAGGACACAAAGACAGTTTGGCAGCTGCAGGCACCCCACTGTGGCACCTGGTGCTCCCAGAAGTCTCCCATCACAGTACTAACCAGAACTCTGCTTAGCTTCCGATGTCTGACGGGATCTGGCTTTAAAATACAAGTGTGGCCACAATAAATAAATAAATTAGAAATGATCATTCTATTGTTATTTTTATGATTTCATAATATACTTCTGCCGCTCATCATGTGGATGGGTGTGTTCTGTAACAACGAAGAGTGCTTGATGTTGGTCTGTGGAACAACACACAACACACAGTGCTCATGCGCACTTTTGAAGTAAGGCAAGGCAAGGAAAGACACATTTATTTGTATAGCACAGTTCCCACACAAGGTAACTCTTGACAAAACAAAACCCCATATCCTAACCCCTCATTCAAGGCCTTAAAATGATAAATAATCACGGTACAGTAAAAAGAGTGAAGATATAATCATCCAGCTAAACAGAACTAGTAAGTAAAAGTAAGTAATTCATCAGTGTAGATGACGTCAGAATTATTTTCATTGCCAATGTAAGCTCATTGCAAAGTCGCAATCTAGGAATTTGCTTTGGCATATGGTGCAAACAAGTTATGAAAAAGCAAACTGAATTCCTCTTCTCAATTAACAAAATGTGTACAGTAAATGTCTGTTTCCCTAGTTTAACCTCCTGAGACCCGAGCATTTGTCTGGTGTGCATTTTATATATTTTTTTGCTATTTAGGATAAGTAGGACCCAATAAGTATAATACCTAAATTGTGATTTTGTACAGGAAGTAGTTTTTGAGAAAAAACATGTCCTCGTATGAGGACAGTGGGTCTCTCATAACCTAAAGAAAAAATGTATGCTCTTTGAGGCCGGAAGGTCCTAATTAGTTGAAATTCAAAATTTCAGCTTGATCCAATTAGTACTTCTCTCAAAAATCAATGTCCTCATATGAGTACAGTGGGTCGACCTTACTATACAATACAAATAGACTCCATTGGTCTAAAATAGTATATAACAGTTTATTTGAAAAATGTAAACATCAAAGTTAGACATAAAATCCAAACAGCTCTATCTTCAAAGCCTAAAAATGTCATGGTGTGGACATTTTGACCTGGTTGAGTTTGAATCCTGCCTGTCCTGTTGATTGTTGCCCCGCCCTAATGTGATTCACCTGTGTGTCCCTGTGTGTGTATATATACCCTGTGCCCTTCCTCTCTTGTTGTCCGTCCATTGTCTCCACCACGTTTGTCCTGGCTTCAGTTCTGTTTTTACATTACCTTGGATTTATTTTATTAAATTACTTTGATTTTCAGTCCTGCAATTTGGGTTCCCTTGTTCTTCATTCATCCACATGACAAAAAATTGGCTATACATAAATAAAACTGCAAAATACTGTGTAAACTGTCTATTTCAAGCCTTCAATATGGCTGAATTGAATTGATAAATACAATACTAGAACAAATAATGGCAAATATTATTAACAGTCCTAAAAGAGTAAAATTCTGCTGAACAGCTTTTGAACCGGGGCTTTTTTCAAACTAGCTCCCTCTCTTTTTCTAGAAAGCAATCTGCCTGTTTGGAAGAGCCCTATTGGCAAGTGTGAAATGCTGCAAAGCAGTTGCGTTCACTTTGCAAGCACAGGTACACATTGCATGTCATGCATCGGACACAGGATTTTCCAATGCAGTCTTGTGCTCTGCAACGCATGGGGTTTTTCAAGGCTACCATCTCCGGGTTAGGGTTAGGGTTACAATATCCCCAGTCGAGGTCAGCAGCTCTCCATCTGCACCATACACGGTGTTGGCAAAGAACTGCTTCCCCCTCCTGAGGCGCCGGAGGGTTTGCCAGAACCTTTTTGAGGCCGACCGATAGTCATGCTCCATGGACTCTCCGAAGTCCTCCCAGTCCCGGGTTTTTGCCTCTGCAACAGCCCGGGCCGCGGCACGCTTGGCCTGCAGGTACTGGACAGCTGCCTCAGGAGTCCCACGAACCATCATTGCTCGATAGGACTCCTTCTTCAGCCTGACGGCATCCCTTACTGCCGGTGTCCACCACCCGGGTTCGGGGACCAGCACCAGAGACCTTGCAACCACAGCTACGAGCCGCTTTATTGGCGATAGAGGAAGAGAACATGGTCCACTCGGACTCAATGTCCCCCTCCTCTGGGTCCTGGGAGAAGCTCTCCCGGAGGTGTAAGTTGAAAGTCCGTCTGACAGGGGGCTCAGCGAGACGTTCCCAGCAGACCCTCACTACACGCTTGGGTCTGCCAGGTCTGACCGGCTTCCTCCCCTGCCAGCGGATCCAACTCACGACCAGGTGATGATCGGTTGACAGCTCCGCCCCTCTCTTCACCCGAGTGTCCGAGACAAGCGGTCGAAGGTCAGATGATACGACAACAAAGTCGATCATTGACCTCCGGTCTAGGGTGTCCTGGTGCCACGTGCACTGGTGGACACCCTTGTGCTCGAACATGGTGTTCGTGATGGACAGACCGTGACTGGCACAGAAGTCCAACAACTGAACACCGCTTGGGTTCAGATCAGGGGGGCCGTTCTTCCCGATCACCCCTCTCCAAGTGTCACTGGCATTTCCCACATGGGCGTTGAAGTCCCCCAGGAGAATAACAGAGTCCCCGGGCGGTGCACTGACCAGTACCCCTCCCAAGGACTCCAAGAAGGCCGGTACTCGGCACTGCCGTTAGGCCCATAGGCCGTCACAATGAGAGACTTGTCCCCCACCCGGAGGCGGAGGGACGCGACCCTCTCATTCACCGGGGAGAACTCCAACACGTGGCGGCTGAGATGGGGGGCAATGAGTATGGCCACCTCAGCTCGCCGCCTCTCCCCGCGGGAAACTCCAGAAGCTGACTGACAAGTATGAGATGATGATGCAATCATCCCCATCTGAGAAGTCATAGAGGACTTCTCAGAGTTGTCTGCAATTGCCAACAGCAATTGTTCTGCTCTTGATAATGAAAGTGTGCCTGTAATGATAATTTTAAAAACCAACATCAAAATCTACAGTATATCAGTGACACATCATAGCTTGGCTATCATGTGCTAGCTATAGCCTAGCTATAATGTTTATGATTAAGCATTTAGCAACACTTCACAATACTTAGCATATACCACTTAGTACTTAAATATACTATTTACAACTGTAAACCACATAACTGAGCAAATGTGTGATTCAAAATAACTATTTACAACTGTAACTTCATCTAAATCTTCCACACGGTTAGCTAAACAGATAGCGGTACATAGTCCTAGCGTCCTCAAACGAGTGCTTCACTTTTACTGACATCCTAGCCTGCTACTACAATCAAAATTTTTCAAATTTCAAACTCCATATGAAGCTAGAGACATTATTGTGCATAAATAAATTGATTTCATTCATAAAATGTTGATAGAATTTTTACCTGGGGCATTTTTCTTCTGTAAACTCTTGTAGAAGTGTTTTGCTGATATTCCCGCCATTTCTTTCCTACTGCCTTAAGTGTAATTCTATCATATCACCACAAGATGGCGCGGGCAGTGTCCCTAAATGTGGCCATCAGGTCAAGGATGTAAAAAATTGAGTATCATTGTGCCAAGAGGCAAAAATGTAATGTCCTCGTATGAGGTCGCAGGGTCTCAGGAGGTTAAAGCAATTAACAAAAACAGATGCAAGGCTACTTTTATGTAAATCTCTCCATCGATGAGCGCCTGAACTGTGAACTCTCCTCCTCTAGATAGAAGCTTTATTGATCCATTGCAGGAAATCTGAGCACATTGCTAAGTTGATAATAAAACACATACAAGCTGTAATTAATGAATTATGACATTACATTATAGTTTGCAATAAATGTCTAATGTCTAAATTTCAAAATGTGTGATAAACCCTTTAGTAGTGCATTATCTCAAAATATTATGGCGCAGTTTAAAGTATAAAAGATCTGATTCTTACTTCACCATAACATTTAAGTTGAGGACTTCGAAAACCACGTTCAGCTTGAAGTTTTAAGTTGAAAGACTAATTTTCTTATAGAGCAATGTCAATTCCTCCCCCCATGCACCATCATTCATAATGCATGCTTGTATGCACTTTTTCCATGTCAGATGTAACTG